TATAAAAGTATTTATTAATATATATAATTATTAATTAAATAAAAATATTATTAAAATATTCAGATTTGGATTTTTAATGGATCGGATTGCTTAATTCCATATCTGGTCCACTTATTTTGGATTACGGATATTTATAATCGGATTTAATCCATCAGACATTTTAATCAGTTAAAGAGCCTAAAATTTGGAATGGATTTGGATCGAATTCGGATTAAAATCCAACTCATTGACAACTGTCACGCCCCAACCCGGACGTGTGACCGGCACTAGGGCTGGCGTACCAACCCTAGTAAGCCTCTGACCCGAAACGAAGTAGGCAAACTATCTCCTCAGAAACCATCCATATAATTACAAATAACAAACCACGTTTGATTGTACATGGAGCGTCTAGAGTACAAAAAGTAAATATACAGAAAGTGGCCATACAATCGAATCAGTGTAGCGGCGACGAACTGACACTGGAGTTACTGTTGCCTATCAGAACTGGAATCTGGAAGGTCAGGGAAAAAGGAATGAGTATATAACTCAGTGAATGACAGTACTATCTAGACATACTGAACAGGAACTGAAATCATTCAAAACACACGTATCACTCCAGTAACAACACAGTTTGCAAAATTCACATTGCTTTAGTTAATATATGTAGTTTCATATGCACAGTCATAATCAGCGAATTAGAAATAAATCAGAGTATCAGAATATAACACATAACACATATCAGAATCAAAGCCATATATGGATCCAGGGCACTCCCCGCACACTATGACGGCTGACCGTACGGACCTAGGACACTCCCCGCACGCTACGGCGACTCATTGTCTACCAGCTGAGCCCCTGGCATCCCGTATCAGAGTCAGAGTCATAGGTGGATCAGGGCACTTCTCGTGCGACAGTGGCCAACTGCCCGATAGCAAAGCCCCTAGCATCCAGAATCAGAATCAGAATCAGAGTTACATATCACATATGTCGCATGGGATCCCGTGCTAGAACCAGAGCCAGAACCAGAATCACTTATCAGAATCAAAATCACATTTATCACATCCTTGGGCCTAGGGCACTCCCTGCACGCTACGATGGCCAACCGTACAGACCTAGGGCACTCCCCGCATGCTACGATGGCCAACCATCCGGTGGTTGAATCTCTGGCACCCCTGAGCAGAACCAGAGTTGGAACCAGAAAACCAGAATCACATACAAATCCATGACAGATTTACTTAATAATTAACACTCATATCACTAAGGCAAACATATATAAATGATTACATAAATAATTTCAAGCTTATCATAGTCTAAAATAGATAGATACATGCACTGAAAGTAATAACGTAGCTCAGAAATCAAAACACAGAAATTAACAAAAAACTGGAATGCAAACACATGTACAGAGAGTACTGTCACTCACCGGACACGTCAAACCTGGGTATTGAGTCTCAATGGATAGTTAGTGGTCGAAGCAGACCTCCTCTGGAGTATCTACAATCATCAAACCACGAGTTAGAACTGAAACTAAATTTACTCTTAAAAGACGCACTTATCGGAAGTGGCCCGGGACATTTCCCATGTTCGGGCTCCTGGCATGCATCTCGAGACACTCCTAACTCACCTTAAGACTCACATTATTCACAAAATTCAATGATCTACGTAATTATCCTCAAATTTACGAAACCTACCCCTTTGACCCTCAAACCGTAACGAACTAGCCTCTAAAACTCTTGAATCGGTCTAACCCAACTCGAAACTACCTCTAACTTATCTCAATCGGCCACAAACCCTAAAAATCGGATTCAAAAGGCCAAAAAATCCTAGGAACCACCCTAAACCGGCCAAAAACCTCTAAAAACTAAGCTAAACTAGGCTAAAAACCCTAATTCTAAGTGTTAGCACGCAAATCGAGGCTAGTTTACCTTGAACTGATCATCCAAACATCACTAAATTTCATAGTCAGCTAGGTTTCATCATGTTGAACCGGGAACCGGTTCAATTTTCCCAAGAATCGGCCTAAAAATTGGTGAACCGGACACCCGAAAGGAACCACACTAAACTGGCCGTTCACCTCGAACCAACCACCCAAAATTTTCTAAACTCACTTGGTTTGATAGGTATTTTCTTCCCAAACCTAGAACTGGTCCAACTTCCCAAATCTAAGTCCAGTTGACCGCTAAATCGGCCGGTCAAACATTGAACCGTTTCTAGCTGGTTCAGTCAACTCCAAAACCCTAATCCCCCAAATTCTAGATTAGTCAATCCCCTGTTATTCTCGATTAACCCTTATCCCTGATTTCTTATCCCCCTGGGATAACATAACCCGATTTCCCCTTCTGGGTCAACTCGGCCGAGTTGACCCACTCCCTTTCTCACTAAGCCAAGTCCCCAGCCCTTGCCTGGGCTGGCCCGCCGCTCAGCCCGCGGGCCTGCAACCCAACTGGGCCGAGCTTGGGCCCAATGGCCCGAGCCAACCCTGTTCGAGACTCGGACTCCTCCGAGTCCCGTCTTCCTCGCCCGGAAACCCAGGTGAACACTCGGTCTTTGCAACCCCCTAAATTTGAATGCCCAGAGCTCAAAGTCCAATCAAATTCATGTACCTTAATTAAATTGAAGTATTCTGAACCGAATCCCATGAATTCCGAGCTCCAACACAATTTTTTAATCGGAAAAAAAAATTTCACTCAATCACCCGGATTTTCCAAAGCTTTTCCGTTGGGTACCGTGCGGGTTCCGTGCTTGATGTCTCCCTTTTTCTCACTAATTCTCTCCATTCAAGATTCAAAGTTGCTTTTAAGCTGTTCTACTCCTATTGGACTAGATTGGCTTCTGGGTTCTTCTCCAACTTTTGGCCAGATTTTCTCTTTTTTTTTTTTTTTATATTCCGGTTATTACAATAACCTTAATTTTATTTGTACTAATGATTTGGAGGTACTACTTATATAGTGAGACATGTGAGATTTATACTTATTATAAGAGTCTGAAATGCATATTTGACGAGAAGGATTTAAATCTTGGATAGAGAATTTCTTTAAGTTAGCTTTTATTCCCTTTTAGAATCAATCCATTTTAATATTTGTAATTCAAGATATTCTAAAAAAAACTAAGGAAAGGTTATTTTGAAAATTTTGCTGCTGCAATGGAAATCCTAATTGGCTAGGACTTTGTAGCCAAATTTGCTAACTCATCAAACTCTACCACTTTAACTCTTTTATAAATTGCTTAATTTAAATTAAAATTTGACCATTTTTCAGCAATTTGAAATCCAAAAATTTTAACTTATATGACAGAAAAATAGACCAAAGTTAAGTAATTTTAAAAACAAAAACAAAATATAGCAATAAACTACATTATAAAATAATTCATGACTAGTACGAATCTTGTCAATGTCCTAACATGACAGATTTTACACCTTGGAATAGTTTTAAGTTATTGGAAATTATTTCTTGAGATTTGATGTGGTCAAATGTTTTTCAACACTTCTATCTGCCTCACCATTTATGGTTTTCTTATATGAAAGAATGTAATAGAAGATTAGGGTCCAAGAACTTTGAGAAAGACATGCAATTGGTCCAAGATCTTTTAGAAAGAGAAGCAGTTGGTTTGGGAAGATATTTTCTTTCTTTCTTTCTTTTTTTTTTTTTTTTTTGGAGGGGGGGGGGGGTGGGGGTTAACAGCAAGGGAAGATATTTTGGGTTTCAATTTTTATTATCTTTTATTTCTTACATTTGTTACATTTTATTCTACTAGTATTTAATAATTATTAAACATGGTGGACATTCATTAATGAGCACAAGGGATGAATATCTTTATTCTAAAAAGAGAAAGAAAGTGCACTAGCGTCCTTGTGCATAAATCTTTTGAATGGCAGATCCAAAATTTATTAATTAAAAAAGGAAAGAAAGAAAAGCAAAGGTTGATATCTAAAGGTCCGAAACAGTAAGACACTCGGAGTTCTTCCCCCACTCTGGTTGGACCATGATTAATAAACCAATTCTAAATTTGAGTTCTGCTTTGGAACTGCAGCAGCACTGTCAGCTTTAATTCATGGCTCCTTTTGGAGGTCTCAGTTTATGCTTTTGAACAGCACGTCACAAAATCTCCAACCATTGAAATCTAAACTACAATGTTTTATTGTGGAGAAAAATGTTGTACGTATTCTTAGCTGAGTTTCTTCCCTTCCTAGGATAAGAATGTGATAATTTGTAAACAAGAGGTGCGAGGGTAAAATTGTCTTATTAATAGGGAGGGATAAATACAGTTTCAGGAAATTAATAAGGAGAGAGATTATTCGTTTGTGTCTAAGCTATGTAATCAATGAATAGTAATAAAGAATAAATATCTTTTCTTAATAAGTTGGTTTAAACAAATGAAACGGAAGGTGGAAACTTAACTTGAGAAAAGACACACTAGTGAATTTGATGTTCTTCCTCAATAAAAGAAAGCATGTTAATATTATCCTGTGAATTATTTTAAATACATGAATAATTTGTTATATTAACGTACCATTGGAAATAATATTACTCCTGAAATTTAATTTAATATAACAATTCCTCATACACGTCATGTAATATGTTGTTTTTGTAGAGAAAATGGGAGGAGATCTCAAAGATTACTTGTTGCAAACGTTATACAAACTACCAGTAAAGGAAGAGCAGGAGACAATTCGATCTATTTGTTCCCTAGGCAAAAGCTCTACAAAAATATACACGTCATGTAATATGTTGTTTTTGAAGAGAAAATGGGAGGAGATCTCAAAGATTACTTGTTGCAAACGTTATACAAACTACCAGTAAAGGAAGACCAGGAGACAATTCTATCTATTTGTTCCCTAGGCAAAAACTCTACAAAAATAGGTGCTACTTTTTGAGTGATTTACAACATACACTCCCAATTTATTAGAATTCAGCACTTTGCACTCCAGGATGGTTTGGCCCTTTGCCTTGCTAGAGTCTTTAAAGTGCAAAATGTTAAATTTTAATAAATTGGGAGTGCATGTTACTAGTCACTCCACTTTTTTATTGATAAGGGGAGTATGGGGGCGGGGAATTAGGCCACTTAGCCAAAAGGGACATGCAACCGGCTCCTAGAAGAAGAGAGATATTGGCCGAAAGCTGTAGTTTGATGTTGCCCTGCATTCTTGGGTTCATGAAATCGGCAGCCAGCAGATCCACCAGTGCCATATAAATAAGGATTCCTGCAGAAGCAGAGTTGAAAGTGCCTTCTACGATGAGTGCAGTGGGGCTGTTCTCTTCGTATATGTTCGATATTCCCATCCCGATTCCAATTCCGGCCGGCGTGGTTAGGGCGAAGAAAATCACCATTGCCGTCACTTTTGCAGCTTTGAATTTGGCCTGCACACCCATTTCGCATATAAGTGAGATTGAACCTAAACTTAAAGTAATTTATAATAAGAACAGTGAAAGTGACAAGGGGTATGATGGAGGGCCAAAGACGGAGACCGACTTCAATATTCAGTGAAGACAACCAATTCTAAATATCCTTGGACTTTGAACTGGATGGTTCTTTCAAGTGTCGTCCATTGAACTCTTCTTAATTTGGACGAATGTGACGTGTCTTCTTTAGACTTCAGAGCAAAATGTGTTTCCCAACTCCGTCATACACACTTCATGACTAAACCTGGTACTTGGGACTCATAGCACAAGTCAATTAATCAAGCACCATATACAGTGGTGGGTAACAGTTTTTTGTGTTTAACAAGAGGATTCCTTCTTCTCCTCCACATTGTGATTGTTTTTGCTGTTGGCGGCTCTTTCTCATTAGTTTTCAAATTTCTATCCTCCAGATGAAATTTTGTCATCTGGAGTTTTCTAATGTATAGATTCCAACACATGATTGAAGGATTGATCAGGGGGGCTACCCTTTACGCAGTAGTTCTATAAAAGTAATTTTGGTTTTTGTAACTGTATTAATTTATGAAGAACATAATCAGAACGGAAATAAATGGAGGATGGGAGAGAATAGACATAGTCGGTTTAAGTATTACCTGAAAAATGCAGCCTCCAAGGCCTATGCCTTCAAAAAACTGATGGAAAGTAAGTGCCGCCACGAGGGGCCTGATTGTGCTGGGAGATTCGGAAGCACCCAAAGAAATTCCTATTATCACGGAATGCACCACAATTCCGAGCTCCAACACCTGCAATCTCCAAACCAGACAACATAGTTATTCAAAATTCCACTTCCGAAATCATATAAAAATTTCAACCCTCTGAATTTACCAACGGAATCAAATAGACGTGAGAGACTGGACAAACAGAGGAAGCAGAGTACAACTGCTACATGTCAATCTACCTTCCCATTCTCATCAGAATGATTAATTAATCAAACTAATACCTGGGATATAACACGATGGCGAAGAAGATGGTGAGAAGCAGAATCTTCCTGTAAGCCAAAAGCGGGACCGTGTGCATGGCCATCTGTGGGATGGTTATGAAAGTGGAGATGATCTTCATGCTCTCCTTGACCTTCTTCTTCATTCCCGTTAGCATTACCATTACCACCATTCAAGGGCAAAGTTGTGGGCTTCACAAAGTGGGATCTCTTGTAATAACTGGTGGCAAAGGAGTCAATCATCATCGTCCCAATTGCAGACAGCATGGCCACAAAGCCAGCGAAGGGAAAGTTTCCCCAGGGCGCGTCAGGTAGGCAAGGGCTTGTCAAGTTCTCGAAGGCGTCAGGCAGCACGTGAATGAAGCCGGTGGCCAGGATAACACCGGCGGCAAATGCCTTGATCAAGAAGAAGAGGTCCTTCTCCGGCTGCAAAATGGGGACTATCTTTCCCATCATTGGAAGCAATACACCCACCGCACTCGCCGCCAGTATGGATCCTAACGCAGCTAGTTTGTATTTAAGGGCCTCTGCTCTGTTACGCTCTTCCGGTTCAGATTCACACGTGCACTCTCCATGTATTGACATGGGAATCACCATTAGCAGAAGAAACAACAGAAACATGGCCATGGGGGTATACCTCATTTTGTGAAATTCAGAAGAAAGAGAGAGCAAGGAGTTTACTGGGGGGTTTGAAAGACCTTAGTAGTAGGGCTGTATATATAGGGGTGCGGTAAATAGAGAAGGCAAGATGTTGAGAAAATGTGAAAGAATAGTTAAGAATGGGAATTATGGCGACATGGGTGAAGAAAGATAGGATGACAAATTGACAACTGTTTGCCCCAAAGGTGAAATTTTGTTAAATCGGAGGACTTGAAAAGGTAATTTTTTATATTATGTCGTCATTATGAGTTAACAAAGTTCAATATCTGCGGCCTAAAGGGAAATTAATTCTGGAGCAGGTATCTTCGTTAAACTTTCGAATTGATAGTCACTTTCAGCAGGCCAATCCAATCCCAACTCTTGCTTTCCCCCAAATAGTCATAATGTCATAAATAGTGGACACAAAAATAAAGTGTTTTAAATTTAAATTTATTTTACTTTTAGCACAAACTATATTTATATATAAGTTAATTTCCTTATATGTGTTTTAACTTCTGCGGCATTCTTTCCTCCCAAAATGTATAACTAAAATGTAACGTAGGTATAATTTCTCTTTACCTGAATGGGAATGTATTAATTACTAGTTTTATAGAGGGGCTGCAATTTCTTGAAACACGAATAGGTTCACTTTTTAGACTTATTGATATCTTACTGTGATGTAAAAATTTTAGGCAGATATAGGGTTGGAGGACATGGCCAATGACAAGAATGAGGCCAAGGGGAGGACCGGTTGATGGGAATAATTAAAAACAAAGACCTAAACTACATTGACGGAAAGGGCAACATTGGCGTACCATGCGGTATGTCAGCTCCTCCATTATCTCCCTTCACTCCACGTAAATATCTAAGAACTTGAAGGAGATGCACAATTATGCAAGGGGCATGCAAATAGGCCCCACGTGGATACACGATTACTAGAAATTGAAAATTACCATTTAAATGTATATGTTTTAATTTCTTGATGCTATCTAAATGATGATTTTTTTTTATAATATATTTTTGCTGCTTAATTTTTTTATTTTGGATTCCACTTGTGGAACCTTTCTCTACTCAATGCTCAGCCACAGTGGACGCGGAGTTAGTTGATAGAATTTCTTTTAGTTAAAGATGGAGTATTTAGTCGTAATCGTCGATTAATTTTTTTTTTATTTGGACCTTCTTCCTCTTACCAATAACATATTGTTCAACAAAAGAGGACAAGAGGGAATACAAGCAGAGAGATCAGTGAACAACGAAATGAATAAAAGGTTTGTTTAGATTGGATTCTATGACCTTACAATTCAATTTTCATATATCATATTGCCATGTAACTTTTGGATACAAGAATTGCTGTATTCAAGGGGCTCAACATTAACATGTCTTCTTTCTAGATTGATCTTTGGGTAATATGGGTCTACAATGCAAGCATAAAGAAAATATCAATGAAGCTCCTCTTCTTCTGCTTCTCATCCTCCTCCTCCTCTTCCTCTTCTTTTCTTTCCCCTAAAAAAAAAATTAGTATGTTATAATAAAAGCTTCCAAAATATAACCTCCGTACCCAGAATACTAGCTAACGGGAAAGAAAGAAAACTCATTTCTGTGGCTTCTTATGCCAACCTTGGGCTATTTAATTTCCCTAAAGCCAAAGATTTGTTTTCTTTTTTCTGTTTTCTGTTTTCCCTTTTTTGTTTCTTCAAATAAAGAAAGAATTTTGGAATTCAATTTTGAAAATTCTACTATTTTCAAACCCTTCTTTAATTTTAAAGTTAAAAAGATTTTGGAAACAACCTGCCTTGGGCGTTTTATATTTTGAAATTTGAAAATGATAAACAAATCCAAATATTCAAAACCTGAACCCATTCTTATCCTCACCGGGAACCTTTATTTGGCAGAAAATCTATGCCTACATATTCCTAAACAGTCACTCTACTCTTGCTAAATACTGATTCCATTTCATCCATGTCCCTCACCTTGGTCTCAAGAACTACGAAATAGAAGAAGACCCAGGCCAAAACAGACACATTGGCAAACATAAAGAATGCTACTCCTACAATTACTGTAATATCCCGATTTGAGGGTTAAATTAAAAGAAATTAATGTTTGGGGGGTTTAATTGAATGAATCGAATATTTGAAGGACCAAATGAAATGAGTAGAAAATGTCAAGACTGAAATGCATGGAAGCAAGAACTTGAGGGACTAAATCTCAAATTGAACAAAACCAGATTTCCAACATCGTCAACATTTAGATCTCACGTGGCCATTGATGTCAATTGCGAGGAATCTAGGGTTAGATTGGCTCAATTCAGTGTGTGTGTGTGTGTGTGTGTCTATATATATATGTGTGTGTGTGTGTGCGCGCGCGCGTGTGTGTGTGTGTGTGTGTGTGTGTGTGTGTGTGTGTAGAATAGATGATTGAGGAAACAAAACTCTAAAACAATTTGGTCACTCGTGACACCAAATTGCTGATTGAAGCAAATTAAGCTTCCAGTATAGTTGTGGCCTTGCGATTGAAAATTTAGCTCAAATCTGCCCTCCTTCGACCACACTGCCACAATCAACTAGGTGGTTGCCAATCGCCAAGATCTGCTTGCCACGCCACTGAATTATCACAAGGTAAGTAGAATGAAATCTAGGTTAATTTTTGGTTTTAAGGTTGTTGGGTAAAGAAAAAGGCCCAAGCAGGTACTCGGGTCTGGAATTGGATCCATGGGCTTGGGTGGGCCTAGGGTGCATTAGGCCTAGGCCAGATAAGACTTTGTGCCTTTAGACTAGATTGGGCTTTGGGTTTGTGGATTTTGGACTAAACTGGGGTACAAGATCCGGATCTAGATTTTGGATCCAAATGTGAACCAAATATGGGGGATAGGTGGTGAACCAGGTTTGGGTTTCAGGTGGTCCATGAATTATTAGTTCAATTCAGTACCTTATTCATTGGTTTAGGACTTTAGGATTTTATTAGACTAGTTCATGGTTTTATTGAACTAGTTCAATGCCTTATTAGCCAGATCAAGGCTTATTTTCACCCGTTCATGAATGTATCCATGACATTCCAAACTTGGTTTGGAATGCACAACTTGAGCACTAAAATATGCCTAAATTCATTCATACATCATTTTCATGCATTTCATGCCTTGTGTTGATCATATGCATATTAGAAATCATTTAAACCTTAAGTAAATTAATTTGATTTTACTTGTCCACAACCCTAGAAAAGGTTAAAAGAGTCTTAAAAACTATCAAAAAGTGAGACATAATTGATAGTGTAAGAAATTACAAGGAAAATAAGAGTTAAAAGGCAAAAAAAAAAGGTAAGTAACAAAAATAACAAATAAAATTTTATAAAACTTAAATTAATAAAATGATGAAAAATTATTAGTAACCCCTAGCTTAGACCCAAAATTTAAAGAGATTAGAGGAATATTAGAATTATTTTCTAGGGTTAAAGGTGGAATTTTCACTCAAAGAGGACATAGATATAATCAAGGTGAAAGATGAGGGGCATTTTACTCTTTTTCCATGGAGGTTTGTGCTAACTTACTACGGGGGTATAAAAGCCCCCAAGCCTCTAGGGATAGCCTTGGTTCGTGCAAGCTAGAGAGAGAAACATGCAATGGTGAAGGAAGGAAGAACTGAGAAGAAGAAAAGAAAGAAAACAAATGAGAAATTTCTAGAAATTCCTAAAAGATTCCAATTTTATGTTAGAAAACTTGTAGTTCCTGATTCTTTCTCTACTACTCTACTATTTACTTGAAGAAACAAAGGATTTGAAGGGGATTTTGATGCTGAAAAAGGGGATATGTTACCCAAAATTTTAGAAAGATAATAAACATCTCTAGTTGTTGTTTTTGCTTAAATATTGTGAGAAACATGCTTTCCTTTGAAACTTTGGTATCTCTATGGACTTGTTGTGAATATATACATCATTTATGAAGTAGAAAATAGGGTAGAAAACATGGGTGTCACGTGGGGGTGAGGAGAAAATGGAGAAATTTGAAAGAAAAAATAAGAGAAGGGGGCCAAAACACAAAGAAGAAACATGTATGTACTTGCTGGAAAATTTCTACATAGGCTTACTGGCATTGAGTTTGAACCAAAATCAAACCTCTTTATTGCCCTAATAGGTTAGTCCAATGAAAAAGGATATATAATGAAGAGATCAAAATCTTGACAAGAGATGAGTGATATCAAAGATAATAGTAAAGGTGAGATTGCAGAAAATTTTCTGCAATATATGAACATATGTAGGCCATGAAATAGAGCATGGAATAGGCTTAAATGGTAGTCAACTAAGTTGTTAGATAGATGAAGCAGTCAGCCAAAGGAAAGAAAAGGATTAGGGAATGAAATTACGGCCAAAACTATGCTAAAGTCATTAGAGAAACAGGGTGTACAAGTGCAGACTTTCCAGCAAAAAATTTCAGCAACCATAAGTAAATTATTTGAGGCTTTTAAGGAACTTAAGGCAGTCTGAAATCAAGACCAATGAAGGGCTTAAGAAGGTGGCTAAGGCAACTCCATAAGAAAAGGGAAGAAAATAGCTCAACTTAGCTAAAAGTTTTCACAAAACCTAGTTAAATGTAATGTAACAAGTGTGTGTAACCTTAAGGGAAAAACTTAGAAATGTTTAGAGCTAATTTAGGAGGGTCCTATACCTCACTTGGGAGCACAAAATAGGGATTAATAGGAGGGCAAAGAAGGGTTCGAATAAAAACACTAAAGAGGGAATCAAGGAAACATACCATATAACACAAAATATGGTTAAGAGTGCTAACCTAAGGCATAACCCAAGCCAAAAGTAAATCAAAGACACACTTCATAAAGCATGGAATAGAAGCAAGTTAACGAAATGTAACACAGTAATAACAAAGGAGGAATTTAAATTTTTGTAACTTAGGTCATCTAATATTAAATTTCATCATGCATACACCACCTCTTGCGTGTATACATGTATTCCACTTGTAGGCATAGTAGACACAACAAAGTTAAGTCCAGACTAGATTG